TCTTTTGTTCATTTTTTTCGAGAGAGAGGGAGGCTGAAATTTTGAAGGGATGTTCCTGATCAAGTACTAGGGCCAGCAGAATTAACTTGGACCAGCAGTTGTAGAATTAACTTCCTGAACTTCGAGGATCAGTATACCGCAAATTCTTGCTACTGGTTGAGACTGGTTCCACTGTTTTCGGTTAATTTTTCAAGTCAACACTCTACCAGTTAAGCTGTTTTTTTGGCCCAATTCTGTGCATTTCGTAATGTTCGTTCTTCAAAAACGATCATTTCTTGTACAGCACTGAAAAGTTGTGTTGTAAAATTTTCAGGCACAGTCGCAGAACATATCTTGGCAAGCAAGCTGCAAGTTCGGTGGAAATTTTAACAAGAGAATTGGCAAATATTGAAGCGATGAGTAAAGCGAGTACGCCACCAGCTACGCCCTGTAGCGTTTCGATCGAGGTCCACTTTCAAATCCTTTTTTTTTCTTACTTCGCTGTTCGTTTGTAACATTTGTTTTATTGGAGAATCTTTATAAAAACTGATTTTGAAGATTGGAAAATCATGAGAAAACTACCATGAAAATTACCATGAGAATACTACGATTGCGAATAAGTCTATTAGCGTTTGCAGGTTGTTAGCAATGGTACCACGCATCTTCGACCATGTGTTGTTCTGCATACCAACTACAAGGATTATCTGTTCAATTGTCCGGAAGGCACCTCACGTTTTCTGGCTGCTAATCGCTTGAAAGCAAACAATCTTGGCGATATCTTTTTCACACGAGGTTTCTTACAGTTGAACTGTATTTTCGTCTGTTTTTAGAGCTGCAGTGCCAAATTGTACCTCTTTAAATTTGGACTCTCAGTTGAGGCAAACCATGTGAGATTGTTTTTGAAATTTTAAAAAACATTCATTTATTAACATTCATTATACAATTGATTTAAACTTAATACTCATTAACTTCAATTACCACAATCGACGTGCTGACGAGGTCTAGTTGTTTTATACGTCTTAATGGACCGAAACACTTTTTACCATTAAAATAATTATAATTTACAAATTTTTTAATTCTCATCTCCTACCTTTTTTACTCTCCCTCTTCTTTCATCCGTTGTTAACATACCCTATTTTTTATCCTATTGGGAAAGATTAAATATTGCTACGTGTTATGGCTTTAGTAGACTTCGAGCTGTGATCTCGGGAAATCTTACCTTATGTTAGTTTTTTTCTTTTTTTTCCAGATACTTGGGATCATTTTGCGGGTGTAGCAGGGCTGCTGAAAGCGCCGGTTGCTTCATCATCAAAAGAATCCGGTCGAACAATTAGATTACACGGGTCACATAACAAATCGAACTATTTCGAGCGTCAAAATGAACAAGTCGACGCCGATCTCCCATCCACTATTACTTTGAAGGTTTTTTTTCCCGCACAGTACAAAGCAAGAAAAATAATTTTTCAGTTCCCGGGATCTCTGGTGCTTTGATCAATTTTTGTTTGACCGCCCGCCTGCGTGTCATCGATGACGTTCTGCACACGTCCTCGGTGCTGAGTTACATCACCTGGTGCTCAGTCGCATCTCTTAGAGGAGGAGAAAGAGAGGCAAACAATATGGCAATCTATTTTTGTAAAATTTCTCATTAAAACTGAGATTGAATGTGGTTTCTGTTGAGTTTTGCCTGTGAGAAAAGTATCTCTGCAATTTTTTAAAAAAAATATTAAAAATTGGTTTTGCACGTACGTTGGACAAATGAAATTTTAGCTCAGAATCGAAAGACCTGGCATAGCAGTAAATCAGTAAATATCACTAAAGTTGGATTTGGTCCCCAGACCGTTGTCGAAGTAATTTTGGCATTATTGGTTCTTTAAAAAAAAAAAAAAAAACTTTTTTTTTTATTTTCTTGAAAAGCAGATAAAAATGAGATTTAAATTAATGCTTTTTTTTTTTATGTGGAAGAACGGCCACTGAGCACTGGCCTATATTCGGACGATGCATTGATTGTACATTTTGTACCGGTAGCAACATTCACTACCTCCCAGCAACTACGAGCGGAAAAGGTTAGGTTTTTTTTTGCGATAAACGAGAAAACGAAGGTTATGTAGACCGCATATTTATCGCTGAGGTTGATTGTATCAGTAAAAATCGATTTTACTCGAACATGTTCTAACGTCAAACTCCTAATTTTTCTGACTTGCATGTTTTTTTCAGATCGATATCGCATTCCTAATTGAGCTGAAGCCACCGCCACGTTCGCTAGATATTCGAAAAATCCAGAATTTGAAAATTCCCGGTGGTCCTCACATGAAGCAATTGAAAAGCGGTGAAGATATTACACTTCCAGATGGGCGTTTTATCAAGGTTTTTTTTTTTGGCATTTTTTTTTTTTGTTTCATGCTTTTTCCATCAGGCCACGTGAATTTACTCAATTTGCATAAGCTCACTTAGCTGTTGTTTCATCAACCACATACACAGATTTTTTTTTGCTGAAGGCATTGTAAAAACATTTGGGAAAATGGCATTTTTGAATTGTAATATTGTTTCTCTGAATATTGGCAGATTGAGGCGTCTTTCGCCCCCCCCCCCTCCTCCTCCTTCTCCCTCAGGGGTTTAAGTAGCGGGTATTTTACAGTAGAAAAGTCTACTTAGAACTTCCTGTCCCTCCTCCTTCCCTCCCCCCAAAAGCCTTCGAGTGGAAGGAATGTGGTGAGGCGACCGAAGAAAAGGTGGGAGGGGGATAGTGGACCGTTGAGTGCAGTGACGAGCAGGAGAAGGGGTGCAGTGAAACGTTCGAGAGGGGGGGGGGGGGG